AGGAGTAGAAGTAAAAAGTCGCCATAAAAATAAGTAGTAAAGTAAAGTAAAAATATCAGAAAAATCTACTTGAGTACAGTAACAAAGTTTTTGTACTTCGTTACTTCCCATCTCTGCCAGTCAGCCACAATGACTTCATACAAACAAAACAAGACGGTAAGGTACCAAACAGGAAATACGCATAGTGTAGAGTGGATGTAGATTTGACCAATCAGAGGCCTCCTGTCTGCAGCACTCTCTGCGGTCACCTACAATTTTGGAGAGGTGCACCAGAGTGTCTGCGTAAGGGGCGGGGGCATGTCTGCGTTAACTGCAACACGTGCGCAGACGACCTGGTTTCTGAGAATAAACCAGCTTTAAGGTCGACCCGGGTTCAAATGCGACCTGTGGTCCTTTGCTGCGTGTCGTTCTCTCTCTCACACCCCCATAACTGTCAGCCCCACTGTACAAAAGAATGAGCCACTAGTGCCGTAAAAACCCCCAAAACTATGAAGGTAACTCTTTTCCAGAAAGATTTTATATATAATCAATTTGATCACTTTTTTTCTTTTCTTTTCAGATTTGCTTGCTTTTCAAATTACTCATTACAGATCACATTCTCTTCATAGTAAAGCCAAATACAGATGCTGACGTCCAGCAGACCAATAGAATTGCAGCTTTGCTTCTTCCTCTAGATCACAGGTGTCAAACCGGTTCCAGAAAGCTCTAGATGAAAGCCCGTCTCCAGAAGTGATGAGAATTAGATCCGGAAAACACAGTTTGAAAAGAATGGAACAACTCAACAACTCAGCCTGAAAAAGAGAATTTGAAAAATGAATTTGAAAACAAAATCTGTAAAACCAAAAGAAATTAATATAAAAACAAATAAAAAAAAACTAAGAAAACATAAAAGTTATTCTCCAAAAATAATTTTTAAATAAGAATTTTCTAAAAATTTCATTTCTGTTTTTCTTTTTTTTATTTACAAAATGTGCTCTTTGCTTGCAAGAATAATGGGACAAAATTAACTCCATATTAAACCAGGATTTAAATTGAATAAAACAAGAATTTCCCCTCCCATCTTTCTCTCATTTTACACCCTGTTTTAAAAACAGATTGTAAAAATTCAAATTTCTGCAACCAGACTAAACATTGCGACGGCAATAACCTGTGCAATGAATAATGTGCAACTTACTTTTTGATTCTCTGTGCGTTAACCTATTACTTTATATTTGACACCCAGTGCAATAACTATATTAGTGTCGCTCTGATACCGATACCAGTATCGGGCAGGGCCCCGATCCAGCACTAAAACAGTGGTATCGATTTTGGCGAATTCCAACAAAAAGGGCACAGATACCACTTTGAAAGCCAAAAGTTCACTTTGCATTAATCTTTTTCCTGCTTCACAAAGGTAGGCAGCAGCTTGACAAAGCCATGATGGCAATTATTTTACATCTAAGAAGTATGCAGTTCTTCATATATACACACACATCAATTTCAAACAGATGGTATCGGCCAATAATGCACAGCCAGGTATCAGGTATTGGGGCCAAAATGTAGCCTTGGCGCAACCCTAAACTATATACATAGATATAAATATGAATATCCTCTATATATATACCCATGTAAACAGCCTGTGTAACAACCCTGTATAATATCCTACTATAAAAAAATACATACATATGTGGACGCACTGTATATAGTGTATGTATGCCATGCAACTTTTTCTTCTTTTAAAACTTTCTTCTTCTTTGACTGTTTGAGCTGATGTAACAAGTACATTTCTCCACTGTGAGATCAATAAAGACAATCAATCATTTATTTAAANTTTAAAACTTTCTTCTTCTTTGACTGTTTGAGCTGATGTAACAAGTACATTTCTCCACTGTGAGATCAATAAAGACAATCAATCATTTATTTAAATTCACCCCTCCTCGGGTCCCTCCAGAGCTTGAAGGGGCAGCAGAAGATCCCAGCTCCCCCCGTAGGAAGACCCGGCGTCTCTCCAGCTGCAGCTCAGAGCCCAACACCCCAAAGAGCGCGGCCAAGTGCGAGGGAGACATCTTCACGTTCGACAGACCAGGTAGGACGGGTGAACAGCCATCGCCAGGTGCCGAGTTCCCAACATTTCCCTGATGCCGTTTTATACCCAAACAGGTCCGGAAGCGGATGTTCCCCCAGGAGACCTGGACAGGGTTCCCTACTCGTCGCTTCGCAGGACGCTGGATCAGCGCCGGGCGCTTGTCATGCAGCTGTTTCAGGAACACGGCTTCTTTCCTTCAGGTAAAATCATCTCAGAGGAAAAAAAGAAGTAGAAATTTGAGATTTTTATCTGTTAAAACTGTGGTTGAAGATCCCGACCTTGTCTGGGGGAAAACTTTACAGATTCTCTTTTCAAGGTAATGCCCTTTACAGTGTCAGACAAAAATAAAGAGCATAAAATCAGGAGAAAATACAGAAGGTTACCAACGCATGTGAAAATGTTACACATTCAGAAATAACTCATTTGACCTCGGTATCTCTGCTTTCTG